CTACCCTCAACTGAGGAAAGAATCCAATCAGGAGCACATGAGATTGTAGATAGTCACCCAACATCCACTTCCTTATCTTGTTCATTAACAGAAACCTAATTTTATTTAAGTGGCAAAATGCCCAGCTAAATTCTACATTTCTCGGGCTTCCTAGTAACCAGGGCAACTGACAAAACCTAAGTGCAAGTGGCTGGGTAGGGCTTACAGACAGCTTGCCTTTCCCTGCTCCCTCTTGTTTGTTGCCTAGAACAAGGATGCGATGGGTGGAGCTAGAGCAGTCATTCTGGGACCAAGAAGATTGTAAAGACTTGAGCCCTTGAACCCAGTGCCAATAACCAGGTACTTCTGGACTTTTATTACATATAAAAAGTAAATATGCTTCAGTCAATGGATATGCTTACATCAATGCGTTTGATGTTCTGTTACTAAGGATGGACATAGCTCATAACTGAAAAAGAAGATCAAAGATAGGAGAGAAGAAAAAAATCCCCTGGAGGAAGGTCTCAGAAGGGAAGGATATCCGTGGGATTGTCACACAGGAAGAAGAAAGACAGTTGATAAAGTGGCAAATTTCCTTCTCAGAAAGAGAAACAAAGGCAGAGAAGGATGAATGGCAGTTTGTGAGCCCACCCTGAGGGGCGGATGGACAAGCAGCTTCTCTCATCTCGGGATATTAGAGACCACGTGTTAAATGAGTGGGTGTCAGGGCCTCGACAAGAATGGGGGCATGGAAACACTGCCCAGAGGAAGATCACAGGAAAGTTCGGGGTCCCAGCTCCACCACAGCCCCATCTCTGCGGTTACTGAGTGGGGGTTGTCCTGAGAACATACGCCACAGAACAAAGCGGAACCAGAAGCCCAAGCTCAAATCCTAGCTCCTCCGCGCACCAGCCGGGAAGACACTCCACGTTTCTCTGACTCATTTTCTGTACTTGCAGAGCGGGAGTAATACTAACAGCCAGCTCATAGGGGTGTGAGGAGGAGCGAACTAGTTAGTGCACAGAGCACCGAGAACTGGCATGGAGTAAGCACCCCACCAGTCATACCTCCTGACATTATCCCCTGGACGCTAGACCATCTGTGCCCGGTCCAGTACAGAAGAGATCACATGTACTAAATGGCCACCAGACAGAAGGGGAAAACTGGGACACATAGGAGAGGAGGATCATCCAGATACCGGGGAGCAGAGACAGGAAAACAAGGGCGATTCCCGAGAAGGGGCCAGACCTCACAGGCAGCTGATCCAGGACTGCAGCTTATGGATGCAAATGTCATAAACTAGGACTTTCCTTGGTCAGAGAGCAAAAGGAAAAGGCCAAAAGGGGAGAAGGGCACGTTGCCCAGTTTCCTGAGCCCGAAGAGAGGCCGTCCAGGGTACTTTAACAAGGCAGAGGAAAGCCATGGGTGTCACCCAGGCTCCGAGGCCACTGAGGTGGGTGACGGTAGGCAGGGCGCAGCCAGGGCCAGCTTGGACAAACTCGGGGGGGGGGGGTGTTGACTGGGGAGGGGAGGCGCCCGGGGAAGAGTGAAGACATCCGGCGGTGGGGGGCTGTTGTGACAGCGACAGGGAAGGAGGGAGGCTGAGGCTGCATCTGAGTGGTCCGTGAAGACCTCACGGCCGGCAAGAGGCACGCAGCTGACATGGGCCAAGGACCAACTTCTCAAGTCTGAGAGGCCAGAGGTCATGGCGGTGGGAGGGAGGCAGGGAGGCCCAGGGACGAGGTAAGCGTGTGCGAGGGGATGGGGAGAATGCCACTTTCCCCAGAGAGGCCTAGTCCCTGACATCCTGTACTCTGGACCCTGTCTGTCCTTCCAGCCAGGCAGCTCCCAACCTGGAGGCGAGGCAACAACGGGGGTGGCCGGCTCTGGCAAAGCTGCTGGGAGCAGGAAAACCCAGGCCAGAGGCGGGAGAACCCATTAGGTCCTCCAGCTAGGAGAAGTCTGTGGTTGGCTTCTTCACAGAAATACCAGAGTATGACCACAGTCACTAACCGTGGACTTGGTTCTTACGAACAAGCAGCATTTTAGCAATATGTTGGAATTGTATGGTTAGCTACAGCGTGCACTGCTGTAGAAGGATCCCACAAGAAGCTCTAAGAACTTCTAACGAGGTCTAGAACTTGAGAAGAAAAAAGGACACCAAGTTAGTAAATGAGTGATGTAAAGTCTGGCAACATCTGTCCTCCTGGGGAGTCAAAGCCTAAACATCTCAGGACCGTGACTGTCCTCTGCGGGGTGGTCCTCCTGCGTCTCCCCGGACAAGGCGTCCAAGACCGGCCGTCACCGCCCTCAGAGGGCATCTCCGAACTAGTGCGGACGCGGGGGCGGCGGGCGAGGCCGGGCCGCGGGGAGGCGGAGGCTGTGCTCTCCCAGGGCGCGGGGGCGAGCTGGAGCGAGGCAGGTTTGAGGAAAGGGAGCAGCGCACAGACAGACCCCGGGGCGGGGAGGATGCGCTTGGACGCCGGAGAAGAGAAGCCCGGGGTGGCCGGGAAGAGGAGTGCTGAGCACGGCCAGGCCAGCGCAGCGTGAGGGCAGGGAGAGCGGGCCGCAGCGCTGGGCCCGTGGTCAGGGCGGGGGCGCTGCGGGAAGGAGTGCCCGTGGGGGGCTGGGGCAGGCGTCTCGGGGCGCAGAGAGCCCCTGCCCTGCCCTCCACTTGGCTCTGCGAGTCTCCTCCACGGGGCTCCTGCAGCTCCTGGCGTCAGCTACCCCGTAGAGGCAGACACCTCCCCACCCGAGCCGGGGCCCTGCACACCCACCCCTGCATCTCCGCAGGGAAACCCCGCAGCGAAGCTCAGGACGGTCTCTCCCAGACGCTGTGTCCCGCGGGGCCGCCGCAGCCCGCCTCCCTCACCCCTGCTCTAGCCGCATTGTCTCCTCACTCTTTTCAAAGGTCCTCAGGCCCAAAGCTCCAGATGGCCTTGTCTCCTCCCATGCGGCCCCGTGCACCGTCGTGGGGGCCAGCTTAGTTGCTGCTCTAGGCACAACCCTGTCCAGACTCACTGCGCATCATCACTGACCTCCCCCTCGTAGCTGTGGCTTTCGCGCTCCCTCCGCGCAACCACAGCAGAGGCGCCTCCCCTCGCTCCCCCTGCGCCTCCAGAGCGCCAGCCTCTCTGCAGACCACACGTGGCCTGAGCTCGGCCCTCCTCCACCTGCCGCACCCTCGCCTGGCCTCGCAGTGACCCGTGCCCAGCTGGGGACGCTCGGACAGACAGGCTGTGTGACGGATGCAGGGGCAGCAGACCAGGCCCCCCTGCAGGTGCCTGGTGGCCCCTCGCACACAGCCCTGGGGCTCTGCACCACATGGACACAGACGGAAATTCTAGGGTCGCCACTCCCGGTCACAGCACATGGTGATGCCATCAGACACTGGGACAAAACCGTGTGCCGTGGGGGGGACAACAGGGCTGGAAGCCAAGCAGTGTGTGTCACGTCTGCTCAAAGCACGCAGACGAGTGTGCCCGCGGGGACGGTGTGCACGGAGAGGTGGGGAAGGAGCCCACACTCTCCATGCAGCCCCTCAGCCACTGGGACCTCAGCGGGCACAGGTGCTGGGGACTCCCAGGTCCATGTCAGGATTAACCCTTCACTTTTCATCTCATATTCCGGAAACAGATGTCGTCAGTTTATTGGCTGCAGGAAAATACCAACTTTACAAATTATGTTTTGCAACGTATTAAGGTCGCGTTGCGGTGAATCGCCCACAAGCCAGTTCTCGCTTCGTGTCATTGCACAGCTCATACATTACTAATAATCCGCCCTCAGCCACAGGACGCGGAAACCGGGAGTAGGAGAGACCGCGGGGCATACACACCACAGCACTTGGAGGAGGACTCTCTGTGCTGCCTCGGCTAGCTCCTCCTGCAACCTGCAAAAGGCCTCGGGAGAGGCAGGTAGCTAAGCTGAGACATAAATCACCTAACAATCAGGCATGGGCTATAAAACTTTATGTAAGCATTCATAAAGGTTAGGGAGTGTGAAATATTATTTTTCTTTCGATGACACTTATTAAAGGTGAGCGGAGTACATATTGAGAACAGTTTCTAGCAGGTCGATCTGACAAGCGACTAACCCCACGTGGCAAGCAGGAGCGGGATTGGCTATCCTGGTAGCACCGGAAAATGGATATTCGCTCCCAGGACCGCACATCAAGCATTCCGTGACAGTTGCTCCATGAAATAAACACACTTCAACTTAATATATAGATCTGTTTAACAAATCTCTGCCTCCGAATTCCAACATCAAAAACACTGAATAAATGAAAATGAAAAATTCATCAACATATATTAATAAATCATTCTGTATCTGAAACAACAAGTTAAAAGGAAATCAGACACTGTGAAAATAGTTTCGGTGACGCTGAATTTTCAAAAAACGCATTATGAGGACAGAACATATGCTCATAGAAATTGACAGCAAAATCATGACGATCCCAAAAAGTCAACGGAGAAGACATAAAAAGACAATTAGCAGGAGCAGGGAAAAAATCTAAGGGATGAGGACACACAGGAAGAATTTTCAGTCCTCATTAGTCCAAACGAAAATCGACCACAACAGTCCTGCGTTCCCTCCTGACTCGGTGCAGACCTGTTTCACAGCGCGGCAGCCGGCAGGTAACACAGGCCCCTGATCCACCCTGGACAAGGGGTACAGGGGTGGACAACCTCTGAACATAGAAGGTATTCTGTATCAGCGAGGAAGTTTTTCTCCTCTCTTCATCTTGACTGTCACAAGGAGAGTGCCTGTCCTCCTGGAAGAAGCCGTGAACGTGGTGGGGAATGGCTGGGTCCGCGTGTGTCCCGCACACCCTCACCTTCTCAGCCCCCATCTCCCTTCCCTGCCGCAAGGGGACTGGACCACCCTGGCTCTAGAGCATCACCAGCTACAGGAGCAGCATGCTGCTGACTTAGAGTAAACAGTTCAACCGAAAGAGAAATAAACATGCAACACATGCACAACACACATGTGTACATATAACACACAATATACATGCAACATACCTGTCTTTAATGTGCTGGGGAGAGCCAAGGCACCTGAAGCTGCCATTGACCATGATGGCAAGTCTCGTGCAAAGAGCCTCACACTCCTCCATGCTGCGGGGAAAGACAAGAAGCGCATGAGCGAGCCGTGTCCTAGGGACGCCAGGCTTGGACCAAACAGTCAAATCAACAAGTAGACCAAAACACTGCTGTTGCAAATTTGTGAATTTTCTGTATTTGTGAATATCTATATACAAACCTGAAGAAACCCCCCAAAAAGCACTTTTTAAATGGATGTTTTATTTAGATGGCCCATGATACAATTATCCAAAAACTTAGCAGCATTTCAACATCCGAGGAACAACAGTTATAAGGACAGAACCTTTCAGCGACAGTACAGAAACATAAACTAGATACGAGTGACCTTCACAGAAAATGTGGACGTTTTATGAAAAATAAAAGGAATAAGATCTACTAATGAATCTAAATGAAATCCTGAATCAATAAAAAGATGTGTCAAGAAAAGGAAAACAGTGAATATATTTCAGAAAAAGGAATTATAATATGAAAATTACTGTTATATGAAAATTATTTTACAAAATATATGTATAAAATGTAGTAAGTGAATTTTATATAAAATACAAATATTTATTCTATTTTACTAAAATAAAATATAACAAATGACATTGTGTAATTTGCAACTACAGTTTAGTCTGTAATGTTTAGTATGTAATATTATCTTGATATAAAATATGTAATAAAGATTCGTAACTTGTAACAGTATTATTATAATTACATAGAAAATAACAAAATATAATAAGGATATAGTATAATGCCAATCAAAGTTATAAAGCATATCTTCAAAGTTATTTAGTGAGAGGCAGAAAAACTAAGTAGGAAGAGTAGTAAGCCCCAGAAACTATTAACATTTGTTTTAAGGCTCAAGTAATTTTTTTTTAAGATTTTTATTTATTTCAGAGAGAGAGAGAAAATACGAGCAGGGGGAGGGGCAGAAGGAAAGGGAAAAGCAGACTCCCCGCTGAGCAGGGATAAGGCTCAAATAATTTAAATAAGGCAATATGCTAAGGAATCAGAAGGCAGATCACTGGAACCAGATAAGACAGTGTGAAGGAGACATTCACACCTTAAACATGCAATCGGAGGATGGGAACATTCCTTCTAAGCATAACAGCAACAGAAGAAACTATGAAAGAAATGTTTAGCGGTTGACAATGCAAAACTACAAACTTGTGTCAAAACAGCAAACTAACATTAAAAATAATGACAGCAAATGCAATGTGTAAGGGTTGATATGTTCAGTATAAAGAATCAATACATGTTAGCATAAAAACAGAACAATGAAAAAGCAATCCAGGGCGCCTGGGTGGCTCAGTTGGTTAAGCGACTGCCTTCAGCTCAGGTCATGATCCCAGGGTCCTGGGATCGAGTCCCGCATCGGGCTCCCTGCTCTGCGGGGAGCCTGCTTCTCCCTCTCCCACTCCCCCTGCTTGTGTTCCCTCTCTCGCTGTGTCTCTCTCTGTCAAATAAATAAATAAAATCTTTAAAAAAAAAGAAAAAGCAATCCAGGAAAAAGGGCAAATATAGAGACTATTCAAAAAACTCCTCACTGGTAATACACACACCAACAAATTAAAAACTCAACCATCAAATAAGTGATCTTAAAATTATTTTCCAGCCAGAAAGCCATTTGTCATGGTGCTTTTGTTTTTTATTTTTTATTTTTTTTATTTTTAAAGATTTTTATTTATTTATTTGACAGAGAGACACAGTGAGAGAGGGAACACAAGCAGGGGGAGTGGGAGAGGGAGGAGCAGGCTTCCCGCTGAGCAGGGAGCCCGATGCGGGGCTCGATCCCAGGACCCCGGGATCCTGACCTGAGCCGAAGGCAGACGCTTAACAACTGAGCCACCCAGGCGCCCCTGTCATGGAGCTTTTGTATGTTGCACAGGAAAACACTTCCCCCCCGCCCCCATCTCCAGGGCAAAGAAAAACAATGATTCCTCAGATCAAAAATATACCCAAAACATCTTCTCCATGATCCTAAGAAGGGGCCCCTCATATACTGCTGGTGGGAGTGAAACACTGGCATAACTTTCCAAAAACCCAATTTGGCAATAATCTCTTTTCTAGAAATTTACCTTAGAAAACTCAGAAAATATGAATGCTATAACAAGTTATTTATAATAGTAAAAATCCAGAAATCAGTTCCACAATAGGATAATACAGTACTCATATAAATGGGAGTGCATCCATGTGTTAATCAGCCATTAAAATGAGGTTTTCCAAACTCAATTAATTGCACAGGGAAAAAGTAATGATATGGCAATGGTAAAATGACAATGTGTGTTAGGAATATTGCACGTTATGTGAAAAAGAAACTGGGAAGGAAAAACATACAAAAAGGTATGATTTTGATGATACTTGAAAAGTGAGGTTAATGGAGGACTATCTTTCCTTCGTTGTACCTCATTGTACCATCCAAATCACCTATAGGAAACATGTATTGTTTTTACTGTTAGGAAATGGACATAAAGCAGTCTGCTTGTGAGGTCATGGCATGTTCATATCAAGGTTATACTGGTCAGCCTTCCATGCAGCCGGACGTGGACATCAATGTGAAGTATAATTTCTGGGTCACATCAAAATAAGACAAGCCACCAGCCTTGGATATTGGTTCTTTCCACTTTCCATGAGCTGGACTAGAAAGTCGATTTCAACCATGAAGATGAGGACAAATTCACAGGTGACTAAGTGACATGGTGGCAAGACCCTGAGTCCTGAGTGGGGTCCAGCATAGCCCACCAACATAAATTGTTAATGGGGAAGAGAAACCCATGTCTGGTCTGAGCCACTCTAATTTGGGGTCTTTGTTACAGTAGCTTAACGTGAAGTCTAAGGATTATATGCTATCAATGTTCCAAATATGCTTTATGTATCTTTCTGTGCAAACATGTCTTTGTTTCTTTAATTAATTTCAATTTAAAACAATCTAATTCCATTTTTATGAGCACATAGTAGGTGCTGTAATTAAATGGGTATTCTATGAAGCCATTTCTGTATTACATCCTTAAACAGTTCAGATGAGAGGAGACCCACTGACACTGACCTCAGAGTAATGACTTGTTAGTTTCAAGTGAGCTGTTACTAGCTGTCAAACAGATAAGGTCCCAACAACAGGTGGGATACCACAACATCTCAGCCTGGGGGGGAAAGACTGTGAGATTTTGATGATTTTTGGTATCAAGAAGAATATACAATGCCAGGGGTTCGACATCAATGAAAGTAATCTCTGACAATTTACTGAGAAAATGAACACTGTATTTCCTCCAGGTGGCTGAGCTGACTGGAACAGAACTCTGGTCGGGGGTGGGGGTGGGTGGGACAAAGATTTCAAGGGCTTATAATGGAATGTACAAGTCAGAGTTTGATGGGCAAGCAAAAAACACTCCTGGTCATTCTTGGATGAACTTTTTTTTTTTTAAGATTTTATTTATTTATTTATTTGAGAGACAGAGAGAGAGAGCAGGGGGAGGGGCAGAGGGAGAGGGACAAGCAGACTCCGCACTGAGCATGGAGCCGATGTGGGGCTCGATCTCACGACCCTGAGAGCATGACCTGAGCCAAAATCAAGAGTCAGACGCTTAACCAATTGAACCACCCAGGGCGCCCCGGATGGACTCATTTTAATTCCTCTCAGTGAGTACAGTGGGAAAGAGTTTCCCACCTCAGGTTTCTACCATGGTCCTCTAGGTAAGGAATAATAAGAGGAAGAGACAGGAACTCAAAATTAAGAGGAAACTTCGATTTGGAGCCTTTTCAGCTGTAGTCAGTTGTTTTAGAAACACAGATTCAATCACCAGTTGCTCTATTCTTCATTAATCGGGAGTCATTTAGACCTTCGTACTGCATGAATATGGACAGACTTACAGAAATGAAGACACATTGTTAATGTGAAACCATAGGAACAGGAGGACATAAAACAGAAATTACAGCGATGTGTGGTCTTTCTGAGAACGGTCTGCAATAATTATCTGCTCTATGGAATTTAAGAGGCATTTTTAATGTGATGCCAGTTTATCCGATCTTAGAATCTGCCTATGAACATGAGGACTTAACAAATCCTAGCACGATGAACACAGGAATGCAGGGAGCTCCTGGAATTGGCACGGCCAAAAGATCGTTTTTAGCCAAAATGTATATATCTTATCAGGTAGAGGATGTGCCAAATTTACTGTGATGTAAAGTTGTATTTTCTGAAGAGAAACAGAACAAAGACAAAAAGGCAAGAGCAGGACATCTGACTGTGGCCAAGCGAAAAAATTGGCAAGGCTTTCCCCCAAAAAACAACTATAAAACTGGACCAAATGAACCAAAACAACCATTTCAGAATTCTGGAAATTGACCAAAGGCATGCAACAATCTGAGAAACACAGGTGACAAACTGATGAGCTGAGGGTAAGAGGAAGGGTAATCCGTGATCAGCTTTACAAACACGCACCCTCTAGCAGGCAGGCAGACCGTGAGGATTAGCAGCTTCTCGGCACTCAGTGTGGACCACTGGAAAATGCCCATACCCAGTGACATCGTCAGCATAAGTGAGTTTTGTAGAGCCCAGCAAACAAGAAGGAACAATAGCTCCGGGATCTGGCCCGAGGTGGGCTCTACTAGGCTGATATTGTGTGACTGGGGCTGCATATACACACAGTAGAGGTCAGAGAGGGGCCACGCCAACCACACGCTCCCCGTGAACCCAGGGGACATCCACGTGCACATCCGAGAGACCAGCAGAACCCAAGAGAAAGCAAAACTGGGCCATCTAGATGAGGTCTGCACTTGGAATATTCTCCCCTGTGCACACACAGATCCGTTGGCAGAGGACAGAATCTTTGCTGCCTTGAGGTAGCTGAGGGCTGCCCCTCCCCATGTAAGATCAGGGTGGCTCCAAGGAAGCTGGGCTTTAAAAAACGAGCATAAGGGGCGCCTGGGTGGCTCAGTCGTTAAGCGTCTACCTTCGGCTCAGGTCATGATCCCAGGGTCCTGGGATCAAGCCCCGCGTCCGGCTCCCTGCTCCGTGGGAAGCCTGCTTCTTCCTCTACCGCTCCCCCTGCTTGTGTTCGCTCTCTGGCTATGTCTCTCTCTGTCAAATAAATAAAATCTTGGGGCGCCTGGGTGGCTCAGTCGGCTAAGCGGCTGCCTTCGGCTCAGGTCATGATCCCAGGGTCCTGGGATCAAGCCCCACGTCTGGCTCCCTGCTCTGCGGGAAGCCTGCTTCTTCCTCTACCACTCCCCTTGCTTGTGTTCCCTCCCTCTCTCTGTCTCTCTCAAATAAATAAAATCTTAAAAAAATTTTTTTTAAAAATAAATAAATAAAAAATAAAAAACGAACATAAAATTTAAAACACAAACTGTATGGAGGCATCAGCAGTTACTCGCTGCAGGGGAAAGAGATTTCATAGATTCATCCCAGGCAAAGAAACACTAACACACAGACTCACAAAAGGAACAAACCAAAAACAAAACAAAACAAAAACAAAAACAAAAAACCTGAAAAAAACTGGCAATAACAGCAATTTTTGGGGATGCAGAGAAACCAAACCAGAGATGCCACAGTTTATTAAGTATTGTGAAATATCCAGCTTTTGACAGAAAATTATAACCTGCAAAAGAAACCAGAAACTGTTACCCATACTCAGGGGGAAAATGGTCAGCAGAAACTATTCCTAAGTGTCCCTAAACATTACATTTCGCAGAAAAGAATCTTCAGTGAAGCTACTCTATGTATGTTCAAAGCACTAAAAGAAACAACGTTTCAAGAATTTTTTTTAAAAATGATAATAATGATCAATAAATAGAGATTCTGAAGTAGATTGAAATTATTTTTTTAAAAAAAGAACCAAATGGGGCGCCTGCAGTTGGGCATCCGACTCTTGGTTTCCACTCAGATCATGGTCTCAGGGTCATGAGATGAAGCCCTGCATTGGGCTCCATGCTCAGTGGGGGAGTCTGCTTGAGATTTCTCTCCCTCTCCCTCTGCCCCTCCCACTCATGTTCTCTCTCTCCAAAAATAAATAAACCTTAAAAAAAAAGGACCAAATGGAATTCTTTTAGTTGAAGAGTATAATAAATGAAATGAACATTTCACTACGGAGCCAACAGCAAAATTTGAGTAGCAGAAGAAAGCATCAGTGAACTTGAAGATAGATCAGTAAAGATTATTCAATCTGAAGAGAGAAAAAAATATTAAAAAGAAAGGACAGAAACCCATAGATCTGTGGGACACCATCACACATACACAGAAAGTACCAGGGCACGGGAAAGGGAAAGGGAAAGGGAAAGGGAAAGGGAAAGGGAAAGGGAAAGGGAAGGGAAGGAAAGGAAAGGAAAGGAAAGGAAAGGAAAGGAAAGGAAAGGGGGGCGCCTGGGTGGCTCAGTCGGTTGGGCGACTGCCTTCGGCTCAGGTCAT